ATAGATTCGAGCTTAAAATGCTTGGAATCGAGCAGGCGGCGACATTATCAGGACTTTTCACAACAAAACGATCACTCAAACTGAAATTTGTCCTGCTTTTGTCGACGGCCTTAGTCAATAGACAAAACTTGAGGCATCGTTAGTGTTACGTTTAGGAGGAACAATTAAACGGCCAGTGCCACATGCAGCCGATCAGGTACCTAAGCAAGAACCTGATGGCTTACAGTAAAGATGGGTCACTACTACTGTGAGCTATTATGCGCCAGCACCATTCATTGCCGTGATGCGGAAGCCAAACCGCAGATTATGTTTCTGTGTCGATTTTCCGACCGGTTTTAACGCTTCTCTACAGGATCATCACCACCCTACTCGGGTGCCAGGGTATATTATATGAAATAAATGGAACAGTGGCGCATATCTCGAAGACAGATCTGTCGTACGTTTACCTTCTGCTAGATGCAGGGGTAACAATGGATTCCTGATGGTAAACACTTTGGCAATTTATTTCCGTAAAACCACCCAACATTCGGAGTGAAATCAACACCAGCCATTGTTCTACAACTGATGGACACTATGCCAACTGGAATCTCTGGAGCAATAATGTGTCGATGTGATGTCATTGGCTAGACGAAAAATGATATCTTTGGTAGACTAAACAAGGTGCTTGCTCGCATTCAAGAATATGGTTTCAGCCTTCCATGGAACAAGTGTAGCCTCGTTTCGTGTGCATCAAGTCTTCGGTTTTACTCCAGATGAAATCAATCACGGTCCAGATCCGAATAACATTAAAGCCACCAAGAGTATGCCTGCAAGAGCATCTTTGATCTCGATTGGACTCTTTTAAGTTTTCTAGCCACAACATCACCTTTGCCATACATACATCTATGTGCCCCACCGAACCCTCCTTGACTAAAAACTATGCTGGTGGTCGCCAAAATGCCAAATAGCCTTCAACAGAAACAGATCATTGCTCAGCTATCTCTACCAGATGAGTCTAAACAAAGACGAATCTGTCGGTCGTGTAGTCCAGGAATAGGAGAGAGACACACCGAAACCCTCCACTTCGGTGACGGTCCCAGTGACCGTATTGGCAGAGGCTGACTTCCAAGTCAACCGCCGCCACCAGTGAGATTGCGCGTTGCAATCCAAGACACACGGTGGGTGCTCCAAAAAAACCCGAAGATCATTCCTTAGTATGAAAAAGTTACTGACACATTATGATCAATCCCGGTAAACTGTTGTTGCGACGGATGTTTCACAGCAGTAGAGAGAAGCAGGAAGTCATAACACATGTTTATCTTCATGGTTCTCAGAAAGTTACAGCGCATGTTGATAGAGCTCTAGAAATAGCCAAGAAGAATTACAGCTACACTGAAATAGAAAGCTTAGTCAGTGTTCAAGCAGTGACGAAGTTTTATAAACGATTTATGGCCATCATTTTATAATTCTGACTGATCGCAAACCCTTACTACCCATCTTTGATTCTAAAAGAACACCAGTGTGTACAGCCAAGCACGACACACTAACCTTGTAGAACTTTCCACTGTCTACCTGTTTCCCCTTATTATTATTATTATTATTATTATTATTATTATTATTGTTTTTAACTATGCGTTGTGGCACTGCCAATTGTATATTGGTCAAGTGTTGAATAATAAAAATAATAAAATACAGCCAAGCATCTGCAACGCTGCTGGCTTGTCATCTCAAGATTTGATGCCAGTAAACAACAACTATTGACCAAACAGAAGCATTACCTCATGACATTAAACCTTACAAATACAGTGATTGCGACTACAATAAAAAAAGCAGAAAATTCACTGTAAATGATGTCCGCCACAAAATTGTTACTTAAGACCGTATTCATGACGCTACCGTGTAGGATCTTCTGTCCATGGAAAAACTGTTCACTATCCCCGAATCAATTAGCCAAAAAATACAACCGACGAGCTTTGGCAACTCGAATAAAGAAGAAACCCGCACTCAATTGTGTACGATTGCATTCTTTCCTCAGAAAATTGTGATTGTGAATGTACTTAAATCGAAGACAATTTCATGGTGGTCGTGCTAGAATAAACCGAAGGAAAGCCTTGGCGCACCGTTATGTACACTATCCTCTCCGGGACAGAGAACTGTTAAAACTAGTCAAAAAATTGCTACAAGGGGTTAATGGTCTCCAAGACACCCCGAGGACAGTATCTCATCCTTATCAGACAATTGACAAAGCGCGATCAAGCGCACACCTAGATTTCGCGGGTCCCACCAAAGATGATAATTTGCTTGTTTTCGCCTATTCTTAAGGGGAACAGTCTTAGGTATTCGGCATAAAAAATATGACGGTATGTGTTACGGTTTACAAATTGCGAGTTATGAATCGGGATCAAATTACAACGGGAGGTCAGACATAATGACACCGGTGTCTAAAAAAGAAGTCAGGAAGTGACAACCTATTGCATGAATTTCTGCAACGTTCGGGACATCAGTGATGCTCCAGCACTTAGTGTTGATGCATGTCTAATATGTAGCCTCAAGCGGCAACACTTCTTACAGCTTTCGAAAAGCTGATGAATGTAAGGTGTTTACTATAGGCGTAAGCGGAGGACGTGTTGTCCGCTACATGCAAACGTCATCAGCATAGCGTGCTACGAGCTTTGACCTTTCTTCTGAATTTGGGAATCGAGTGAGAATTGATCGGCTAGCAAATACCAGCCCGCGTTAAAGGAATGGAACTATTTCGTCAATGTGATAAACCCGTGGAGCGGAATTCACTCACACTGGCTGAAAACCAGACGCAGAAGAGTGGGTGAGCTTGACCTCCTGAATTAGCATGTTTCGTTTACCAATAGAGAGTTAACCTATCCTGTAGATTTACTTTCTCTACCGAGTACTGACCTTTTGTATTCCTTCGGTTGGCTGAGCGCGTGACTGAGCAGTCAGACAGTCGCAGTTTCACAGAGCAGCAAAGCAAGCAGTACAACAGTTGTCAGTGGCGGAGAGTAGAGGAAAAGAAGAAGCGTAATAACAGTTATTCGATAGCCACACTATATTTCGCAATGCTGTTTACCCGCCTGCTTTTGACAAGAATTCAAGGCTACCCGTTAGTCTGTAGGCTACAGTGCTCCATGCGACATAAAGCATTACAGTCCACACTTTCTAAGGGGGTGTCTACAAAGACAATGCGGCATTATTCTTGCTCATTATCGAATCGACCGTTTGATAATAGTGTCCATCAACAGGTATACAGATTCTTCTCGGTTTCGTACTCCTCCAATGAGTCCCTAACCGTTGTGACAGGCATTGTCCGTCGCGACTCGGTGACTTAAAAGCATTGTCTGACATACCAACACCTCAGGTTCTGGTCACAGTTTGGCTCTCTCGACCGGATGGACACAAACCAGTAAAGGAGTTGCAGGAACAAAAGGCACTTGTTGACTCCTTGACCGTTGATAGCGAGGAACTCGAGGTAGTTGATCAATTCACCTATGTTGGCAACTGCATCAATAACGATGGGAGAATGACTAAAGCCAGTTCACTCATTGCAAAAGGCAGAACTTCAGTCTGAATCCGCGACTTCTGTGGCGTCAGAAAGGGGTTTCCATCTGTCTAAAAGACCGTGTTTACAATGCCGCAGTGAGGGCCGTCCTGCCCTATGTGAGTGACACTTGGCCTCTTCGATCGGAAGATCCGAAGCGCCTTCAAATCTATGCTCACCGCTGCCTGCGAAGTATAGCTGGTGTCGGATGGCACCGGCGTGTCCGCAACGATGATGTGCGTGGGCGAGTACTAGGCAGTAGTAACCAAGCTAATTCATTAGAACAACAGATAGCAATGAATAAGTTGCGTTGGGTTGGGCACGTATGTTCGGTCACGGCCTACAGAGGAGGAATTTGTTCTGTCTGCCAGGTGTAGGTTGGTGCAGGGTTTGAGGTGGACAAAAGTTGACTTGGCAGCGGGGAAATGAAGTCACTGACGACCAAACTTGGTGCCATCGGTCTGTCTCGCATTCCAGACTGAGTCCACGTGACCCGCCTTGTGCTCGGATCAAGACTTTACAGGACATAGCCCGCAGTCGACAATAGTGGCGTGTTAATTGCCGTCTCCTAGTCAGACTGCCTGCTTAAAGTGTGTTTGGAACTGGGTTATCTGCGGGGTTATGGCGCATTATGACACGGGGCAGTGAAAGCCGCAACGAAGCTGTCTCGGCGATGCCGCCTTATCACTGCACGATAGCCAGCTGTTTGTGACGGTACGTCGTTAACACAAAGTGTATTTGCATTGACCCTGAATGTTTGCTTAGGACATTCAGGTTTTCAGGTAAGTCCCCTTTCTCTCCTTCTTATCATTCTTCGTTCTGCAGGTCACCGTTGTTGTACGGCAGCGGAACATCAGCTCAAATAGCTGATGTATATCGGTTGTAGATAATGATGAAAATGGTGGTGGAGTGTCCCGCTGCAACAGTTAACATTTTGTCTGCTTATGATATGCTTCCAGTGACTGAAAAGAACGAGGTTCACTTCCGAGTGATTTGCAGTTTGACGGGAGATTGCATGTTGTGCGCAACCGCCCCACCCCTCCATTAGGTTAAATATATCAAAATCCACAGCTGATTGCAATAGTTAGCACAGAGATCCATGTTTATCGTATGCGAATATTCCGGTGTGGACACTGAGAGTGCATAGATTCCACTATTGAGGTATCTTCAGTGATTCCACGAGATCGATTATGCCACTTAGCTGTAAGGTATGAATACAGCCTTTCACAGTGTTTACGATGAAGAACGATAGGCTCATCACTTTGGTTTCAACAATTTAACGCCATGAAGTAGAGAACACAAAGCTATCACACTGCGTCCTACGATGTTCATTCTCCTCGATGCGTAAAAAGTAAGAATAGGTGAGGGTACATAAAAACCGTGATGAAAGCCAAGAGACATACCACAAGTTTTGCACAAGAGACAAATAAAAAGTGGAGCGCAGGCTAGCGAATCGCGGTTAACCTACAGAGGTTGTGTGAAGTCGCAGGATAATTCGAGTAAACTGCACCAACTTCGAAAAACGGAGTTGTGGAAATTCGAGAGATTCTCACTACTTGAGTGAAGCCTCAGCGGAGGGTTGACGGTCTCCCCGAACAAACCTGGAAAATACAAGAGGAAGGTAATCAGGAAGACTGGAGGCTATCACAGGCTATTGGAACATACAACAAGGAAATGAGATATAATGTCAAGAATTTTAGAAATACTCAAAGAGTCGACGGGCTAGTAATACAGATTAATTTTGAATATCTGTGTGTTCGATTCGGCGGACTCTCATCGGGGAAAGCGGATGATGCAAGATGATCTCGGATGAAATTGGTAGACATCTCAAGCCAATTCCTGAAAAACAGATGACCCAGAAGTTGAGGCTGGAAACCCAGTATTACCCGGAAATTAGGGAGCCAAAAACGGATGAAATACGTCTTTCAGTATTCGGACAAAAGGACATGCATTGTAATCATGGACAAGGTGCAATACACCGCAAAGAAAAGCCAATTCGCGAGGACCAGCGGAAGTGTAAAGCATAGAAAACACCAGATAAAAAGGTACTCGTGTAGAAACAAGTAGCGAGGAAGCTCGTAATTCACTTGTTACATGACTACGTCTTAGAATTACAATGGTCAGGAAACAAGGACGAATAACGATACTTGTGAGAAGCTTAGAGGCAATGAAAAAAGGCTAATGCCTTATTGATCTGAAAAAATCCATTGATGGTTTTTGAGATTGGCACGACAGTTTCCAGTCGTTTGGTTGCAGTCACCTCTTCAGTGGCTTAGATAGTGCAGAGCAGAGAAGCAAGTCCGATGAACAACGAGTCACCACCGGGTCCAGGAGTCTTATCTCGCTTCAATACGGCAAATTCATGTTGAAGCTATTCAAAAAGGAGAGATGGGATATCGACCTCCCAAGTTGGCTCAGATGGTTCAGCGAAGCGAAGTGTTGCAGCAAGTCTGCTATAATGCTTTTCCAAATGTTCCGCCCAACGGGCTGGTCGACGTAGCTGGGAATGGATCAACTGTCCATCTTTCTCAACTATTGTCTCGTTAACTGATGACTTTTTCGGACCCGTGTCCCAGATGACCTGAAACAGCACTCAGTTGGCTTTCCCCGTCTAACGGACCCTTTCTAACCACTAACGCTCCCGGTCGATTAGAAGACTTCCTGTAGGTCGTCGTTTCAGGGCGTTACAAACAACTTGAAACTTACTATCCAAAGAAAAGCATTTGCCTCAGAGATCCACTCACAGTGCGGATGTCTCAAGTTAGGCTCACAACAGACGTCAGAAGTATTATTCATAGCACAGTAGACGATCCCAGTCGGCGTTCAGTTCACCCACGTAATTCGTCACTGTCAAATGGTGGGCCGAGTGGTCTGCACGTTTGCTTTGCAACTATAAGGCCACCGGTTCGACTCCGCGTAGGGGTGGGCGTCCTCGCGGTATACTCAGCCCGCGCACGACTGGTGGTGGTCGCGCGGCAGCGAAGCGCCGTTAGGGCGTATAAGCTGACACCTTTCTTTCTTTCTCTTCGTGTGCGCATTACAGCACGGTCCGAATGCAGGCACATGCTCCAAATTGACCGAGAGTGTTGGACTGATGTGCACCATAGGTAGCTGATGGCGATGCGATCAATTTTGGTCCAGGCTATTGAGGAATTCGACGTATATTAGGTGACATGATGTAGTTTGTGCTAAAAAGCAGTGATGCTGATAAAAATTGCAGTCGGCACACTGTTACAAGAGTCGGTTGGCATTATCTGTTCGACGTGTATCGGCCCCGAAACGAACCCCCAAATGTTGTTCAGAGCGTATGAGGCGACCCACTTTAGCATTCATGTCACTTTCAACAATTACGATGTTAGTATTTGTCGTCATACGAAGAAGAGATGAGAGTTCACTATAGAAATTGAACCTGAGAACATTGGAGCGGCAGCTAGTTGGGGCGTAGACTGAAACGATGAAAAGGCACATTGTCTTCAGACGGTACTTAGTAAGCCCAACAGGGGTTCGAAGACGAACCGTAACATGCGGCTGTTCACTGGTACCCAGTTCACTAGATTATCCTCAGCATGATAGCTGAGTGAAATACCGACACCGTAAAGACCTTGAACCATTGAATCAGTATCGCCAGATGTGTTGTGTTGTGTTTTCTTTTACTATTTCTGTACCTTGTTTTGAGTTCCATGGTTTCCGATGGTGCAATGTCTATTCATAGACCGTTGCAAATATATATATATATATATATATATATATATATATATATATATATATATATATATATATATATATATCGCCAGAGAGTGTAGTCATGGTCGGCATATTCGGACTGAGAGAGTCGAAGATTAGTCCCAATGCTATTATCTTGTATGTGTGTTTCAGAGACACAGCACACATCAATATCAAGACGTTGATGGGAGAGTTAGTGCTGCCTGTTGGTTGATCCGGCCTAGAGTGCGGACGTTAAGAGAATAAACGTGAAATGATACCCTTGATTTGAGGGATAAGTTAAATGTACGTAGGTGTGTGGAAACGGTGACACTAAAATGAGTGATAGGTGTTATAGCGGAGGCAAGAGTACTCCACCACGCCTCGTGGTTTTGTGAGTTTTATTCCACTCATCCCTATTCACCCCGTCCTCTTTTACGGTTCCCCACATACGCTTCTATTACTTCACCTTTGTGACTAGCTTGGGTTGACACTGAACCTTATGCTCAATGGTTTTTCCCTTACTCTGTACATTTCGCTCGTTCGTGAGACATCGTATCGATCCTTCGCCCGGGGATTGACTAGCTTTGATTGATCGATTGTCAGCCTTTCTGCATAGCCTATGTATATGCCCTAAATTGAATCATGTCATTGAGTTGCACACACAGACGTTTGGTGGCCGGTTAGGCGTGCGGCGTGAACATTATTTTCTATTCGGTCGTTGGTGTTCTCACTACCGTTAGTGGGTGGAAGCAATCGTGGGGCTCCGACACAACAGTTTTTCTGGCGACGGAGGTGTTGAACAATCATGGCCATTTCATTCGAGCAGATGCAGTCCCTATTTCAGCAGAGGCAGCTTCAGTTCGAAAAATCACAGCGGCAGTTAATTCAGTTGTTATCAGAAAAACTCAACATTCAAGTGGAATGGGAACCGGAACCGAGGTTAACATCCCAGGAAATTGTATCTGAATACCACAAGCTGCTCAGTTTGAATCATGACCCAGAACTGATTGCGACCTTAGATCACAGAGAAGAACCCCTGCCCTGTCATACAGTCATTTGTGACCAAAATGTGAATGGAAATGTGCCGAACCGGAAGCCCCCGACTGCATTATGGAACGGTGATGGAAGACATTCTGTGAGAAATTGCGCCCACAAAAATTATCATTGTCAAAACGCGCACCAATTCAGATGCGCGTTTACCTCAAGGTTGCAAACGAGTTCAAAATTCAAAAGAAACAGGTATCTCGGCACAGTGAGAGAGACGGCTTTTGCAGTATTTCGTACACACTTTTCAGGGAAGAGGAAATACCCCACAGTGAAACGCAAGAATGTCCCGATATCGCTGCTGCCAGAAACGTTGCATGCTCTCAAGAGCACTTCTCGTGGAACCCAGGCAAAACTTGGCACATCGTCAGTCAAAGCTACAATTCTAACGGTTAAAAAGGTTTCAGAGGAACCTCTGCAGCTGAAAGGAAGAATCGCCTTTGAACACAGGCTCAATGATTTGCTACACTATGGAAAAATCTACCCAGTATACTGTACCAATGTTAAGCTGCACGGAACCAACCGGATTACGAAGTTAGATTTGCTCAGTCAATGACTCATGTGAGTTCGGTGACGACTGTTACTCTCTGCAATATTGGTCGTACCTGTTCCAAATTCTTGTCTTCACCAGCTACCAGTACGGACGACACTAATGTCTTGGCCTGAGCCGGAACTACCTTGGTGTTGGATGCATGTAGACCCAGGCGGATACTCTTGTGTGAAGTTATATTGTCCTCCGTATACCCACTTTTTTAAGGAGGGAGAGGTGTTATAGCGGAGGCAAGAGTACTCCACCACGCCTCGTGGTTTTGTGAGTTTTATTCCACTCACCCCTATTCACCCCGTCCTCTTTTACGGTTCCCCACATACGCTTCTATTACTTCACCTTTGTGACAAGCTTGGGGAGTAGCCAGCACAGCTGTCGATGATTGTTGCTGAGTTTGCCTAAATTGAGGCTGCAATGCCGGATGCATCAGCGCATTATGCTGACCTGAAGCGGAGTTGTGGTGCTGCAATTCCAAGAGAGGAGCAAAGGCAGCATATGGAGACAAGCAGGCATTCGAAAAATTGAAATCGCTACTAAAATCAGATCTGTTGCTCACCCATTACAATCCTAATCTGGAGATCATTCTAACGACAGACGCTTCTAGCTATAGAATCGGTGCAGTCAGTTCACACCGTTTTCCAGATGGTGCAGAAAAGGCCGTTGCGCATGCGGCACGAGCCCTGACGCCTTCTGAGAAGAACTACAGCCCAAGCTAGTCACAAAGGTGAAGTAATAGAAGCGTATGTGGGGAACCGTAAAAGAGGACGGGGTGAATAGGGGTGAGTGGAATAAAACTCACAAAACCACGGGGCGTGGTGGAGTACTCTTGCCTCCGCTATAACAATAGGAAAAAGTTACACGATGAGGGAGTATCATTTCGGTCAATTATGTGCATGCATAAGATGGTTAGCAAAACCCCTATGGCCCGTATCCAGTACTAATTGCTTGGCAGACTTATTTTTATCTGATCGAGTAAGTGGATCACGCATCGGTGGCATGGAATCACATTTTGTAAATAAGCCCATACATGAAACTGCTGGGGAATAGTGCCACTTATTAAAGGGTCAAAAATGTTTGCAGGCATTCCCCTGGAGCTCCTGAGCGACCTTATTCTGCAGTGCACAACTAATGTCCAATATGAGTTTGAAGCAACCGCGTGCAAGCAGATAGACGGTGCCGTCATGGGCAGTCCTTTGGAGCCAGTCTTGGAAGACATTGGGGGGGTGATCGAACGGGAAGTCGTAATCGGCACTGATGAAGCAACGCTGCGCAAACGTTATTTGGATAACGACATAGTAGTTTTCA